GGACGCTTGCCAAGCTGGTTCACCACAAGCAGTGGAGCAGCTGCCAGACCCCCCAAACCACAGACACACCCTGTAACCTGCTGACTCTCATGAAAAACTTTCCAGGGAAGCTTTCCCATGGCATGTCAAGGGCCATGACGCTGCACGGGGGCAGCCTGCATGCTCCACATATGAATCCACTTCTGGGCTTGAGTGCAGGAGACACTGTCATGACACCTCACCACAAGTGAGGGGAGCAGGTTTGGGATGCTTGTCTGTGCTTACCTGTCAGAGTGAAAGTGCCCCTGTGAGCCGAGCCTCCGGAGGTGGGGTACCTGTTAGGGTTCTGAAAGCGGAGGGGTCAGCCACAGAATACAGACTTCGCTTTCTTCCTTGGGTGTCAGCGCCAAGTGCTCGCCCTGAAGTGCTCAAGTGCCCTCTCTGTGCATCCCCAACACCAAAGTGCCTCACCCCTCACTCTACGTCTGCACAGCAGGGGGCTCTAAGACAGAGTCCTGTAGCCTTGCGCCCTACCTACTGAGCTATATGAGGTCCTGGTGGAAGTTTTTGTAGGATGGAGGGGGTCACAATTGCTGGGGAGGGAAAGGGTTGGCCAAGGCTGTAGTCGGCATCCAGAGCTCCTCCAAGGCTAATGGGCAGGTGTGAAGCAGTGGGGGAAGACTTTATTTTTGCAATCCATGGGCGCCTGTGGATTATTACATGTTTTTTGTTGGTGTAACTTTTCGCTTCTGGCAGGGGGCATTCCCAGGCTGAAAGAGCTCAGGGAGCTAACTCAAGCCATGTCCCTGACACTGCCACCAACCATGCCGGTGCAGGGGCCTACACCTCAGTTGTACCACCAGTTGGCCACCACGCTCCACTGCTGGCACCTGCGAGCAATGGGGCGCTGCAGTGGCTTATGCTGTTGTAAGTGCCAGTTACACTGATGCAACTGGACTTACTCTGATGTAACTGAGACTTATGCCGACATAGGGGTAAGATGGCTCCCAGAGTGCTCCCCCCCCCTCAGGATTGTGCTGCTAGGATACTGGCAAAGTCCTGCTTTGGTCCTGGCATGCTGTTGGTGCCACCTATTTCTAGCTTCTACATCAGTAGAACTGACTCTATACCAGCACAGTGCCATGGGAGTGCTATGTAAAATGGTATAGGATTAAGCATTTTACAGGTTAGCTTTCTGTAAGTCACACCTGATATATGACAGCTTCCCACTGATTGGAAAGAAACAAGGCCCGAGCAGTGACCCACACAAAAAATTAGCCAGTAGGTTCCTTTGGGGGCATTTCATGTCTGTATCTGGAGTTACTTGAGTCACACATGATGCAACAATGTCAGCAAAATTACCTGCCAGAAGCCGAGGTGAATTAGAAGGTGACAATGCTGGAGCAGTGAATAATGAAACAAAATATTGGGCAGTTCTTCTGTGGATTGGAAATTCTTCTCATTCTTCCCAGCATGCTAGTGGGTCCTGGCTTGCAGTTTAGGAATGATTGCAGTAGAATTTGTAGGACTCCAATCTATGCAATGACTGCAGCTAAATACTTAGTGTGTGCTTCAAGGTTGTTGTAAATTGATATTAAGTATTAATCTAGAAAGCATTAGTAACAACAAAGCTAGTGGCGGTGATGGTATTCCAGCTGAACTATTCAAAGTCTTATAAGATGATGCTGTTAAAGTGCTGCACTCCATTTGCCAGCAAATTTGGAAAACGCAACAGTGGCCACAGGATTGGAAAAGGTCAGTATACATTCCAATCCCAAAGAAGGGCAATGCCAAGGAATGTTCAAACTATCGCACAATTGCACTCATATCACACGCTAGCAAGGTCATGCTCAAGATCCTACAAGCTAGGCTTCAACAGTACGTGGATAGAGAACTACCAGAAGTACAAGCTGGGTTTCGAAGAGGTAGAGGAACGAGAGATCAAATTGCCAACATTCGCTGGATTATGGAAAAAGCAAGAGAGTACCAGAAAAATATCTACTTCTGCTTCATTGACTATGCTAAAGCTTTTGACTGTGTGGATCACAACAAACTATGGCAGGTCCTTAAAGAGATGGGAGTACCAGACCACCTCACATGTCTCTTGAGAAACCTGTATAAGGGCCAAGAAGCGACAGTTAGAACCGGATACGGAACAACTGATTGGTTCAGCATAGGAAAAGGAGTACGACAAGGATGTATACTGTCACCTTGCTTATTTAATATATATGCAGAGTACATCATGCGAAATGCTGGCCTGGATGAATCACAAGCGGGAATTAAGATTGCTGGGGAAAAGATCAACAACCTCAGATATGCAGACGATACCACTCTAATGGCAGAAAGTGAAGAGGACCTAAAGAGCCTCTTGCTCAGAGTAAAAGAGGAGAGCGCAAAAGTGGGCTTGAAGCTCAACATCAAAAAAACTAAGATCATGGCATCCGGCCCCATCACTCCTTGGCAAATAGAAGGGGAAGTCGTGGAAGTAGTGACAGACTTCACGTTCCTGGGATCCCAGATCACCGCAGACTGTGACTGCAGCCATGAAATTAAAAGACGCCTGCTCCTTGGGAGGAAAGCGATGGCGAACCTAAACAGCATGATAAAAAGTAGAGACATCACCCTGCCAACAAAAGTCCGCATGGTCAAAGCAATGGTATTCCCAGTAGTCATGTATGGCTGCGAGAGTTGGACTATAAGGAAGGCCGAGCGCCGAAGAATAGATTCTTTTGAACTATGGTGCTGGAGAAGACTCTTGAGAGTCCCTTGGACTGCAAGAAGAACAAATCAGTCAATCCTCAAAGAAATCAACCCTGACTGTTCCCTGGAAGGCCAGATAATGAAACTGAAGCTCAAATACTTTGGCCACCAAATGAGAAGGGAGCACTCACTGGAGAAGACCCTGATGCTGGGAAAGATTGAAGGTCAAAGAAGACGGGGACGGCAAAGGATGAGATGGTTAGACAGTGTCATCGATGCAACGAACATAAAATTGAGCCAACTTCAGAGGACGGCGGAAGACAGGAGGGCCTGGCGGGAGATGATCCATGGGGTCGCGAAGAGTCGGACTCGACTGTGCGACTGAACAACAACAACAACATTAATCTAGAAAATATAAATGGGTAAGACCACTCAAGTGGGAATAAAATAAGAATGATGACTGGTGAACATTGAAGATTGAAGACAACAGTATTCAAAATTAGACTATCTAAAGGATAAAGTAATTTTGTAGGAACATATATTGAGTACTTCAGTGCCATTAAAATATCAGGAAAATATGCTTGCTGTCCCTGATTAGCTTGATCCTCATGCTGCAATGCCATGATGACCTGCTCTTATGATGAGACATACTTATCCATTTATGCAGGTTTTAATGTATTCCTTCCAGAATCCCACCAACCAGGTTTTTCGCTTCAAAGGAGAATTGTCACTTTATGGTAAAATATTTCAGTGTACTTTATATGCTTGGTCTTGGTCTTTAAAAAAGTTAAACAAATATTTGACCCTTTACTTTCTGAGGTAGCTCATAGTATTGTTCCACTTCAGGGATGTAGTTCTAGTCCTTAACCACTTAAATTTTATGATTTCCTTTTCATCATGCATTTTCTGTTGTAATCTGAACTCTGTGTCATTTTTGGTCTGATCCTGTCTAATTTGTCTTGATCAGGTAGAACTTTGTCATTAATATGAACGGAGTGCTACCTCTTAGAGCTGCATAGAGAGACTGACCCTTGGTTCTGCTAAATGGTTATTATAACAAATATGATAGCTGTGATCACAAATGAGCGGTCCTACCAGTTAACACCCCACCCCTCAAACCATATTCTCCCCTTCTATCAAAGGGGCGTAGTGGTTTAATTGCTATTTACTATGCTGAGAAGAGCTTTTAAGCATTTAATTTCCTGTGCATTCCTCCTTATAGATGTTTCACTATGAGATTGTATGGAAGGAACCTAATTGGCGATACATGATCTTGTAATGTCACATATTTTCTGTTAAGGCTCAGCCTTGTGAATACTTTTTTATTATTGTTTATCATGTTAATTAGAAAAGTGGAAAAGCTGTGATGAGGTCTCTGGTTTGTATTATATCTAACCTTGCTTGTTTAGTTAGGAATGACCTTATATCCTTTTAAGCCTGTGTGATGTAGGAAGTAATTAAACTGAATTATGTTCTGTCACTATTTTCTATTTTGTTAGCAGCCAAATCTTCAATTAGCTTACACTACTTGCCAATGCAGAAATGATTTTTGGGGCCACAAACAAGTGAATTATTATAGAGATAAAGTTTTATTGCTGACTTCAGTTAACTGCTTTGTTAATATAGAGACTAAAGTGCTTTGAGACACCTTGAACCTGGAGAGTATAATTTGCTAGGCTAGCAGATAAAACAAACAAAAAACAATACTGGTTTTTGCCCTGTAGATGGGAATATGTGATTGTGGTAAAGGAACTGCAGAGAAAAGTGAAATACAATGAATATCTCTTTTGCAAAGCACAATTGCATATTACAATTGCAGCCAGTTTGGTGTAGTGGTTAAGTGCACAGACTCTAATCTGGGAGAACCGGGTTTGATTTCCCACTCCTCCATTCACAGCTGCTGGATGACCTTGGGTGAGCCATAGTTCTGTCAGAGGTGTTCTTGAAAAGAACAGTTTCTGTCAGAGCTCTCTCAGCCCCACCTACCTCACATGGTGTCTGTTGTGGGGAGGGGAAGGGAAAGGAGTTTGTAAGCCGCTTTGAGACTCTGAGTGAAGGGCGGGCTATAAATCCAAATTTTGGTAATGGTTGGGAACCTTTTCATTCTGAACTGGGAGGAAGAGATGACAACTTTTGGCAATGACTCTGTTACCCTAAGCATTGCTGAACTCATAGTGGGAAAGCAGATCTCTCTCCAAATCAGAATCTTGAGTAATGCTGAATATATGCTATTTTTTTCCAGTTCTCCTTATAAACAAGGCAGCATTATGCTTTCTCACTGTAAAAGTATTTTATGATTTGCTGTTTCATTTCTGGTGCAGGTACTTGGAACTAGAAAGCAGTGGTCATAGAAATGAAATCAGATTGCACTATCGGTCAGGAAGCCATCGGTCACACACAGAAGTGTTTCCTTACATTTTGGCAGATGACAGGTGGCACCGGCTGTCATTAGCAATCAGTGCCTCACACTTGATTTTGCATGTGGATTGCAATAAGTAAGTATAGAGCTGAATTTCAGATTATGGAACTGCAGTGTTTTGGAGCCTAAAGAAACAGCAGTAAATCAGTTTTATTTTTTGTTTCTGCATTATCTCTTTTTCTTTTTGAAACAGAATTTATGAGAGGGTAGTGGAAAAACCCTATATGGCATTGCCGGTTGGCACAGCATTTTGGCTGGGACAAAGGAACAGTGCACATGGTTACTTTAAGGTATGTTTTCCTCAGGAAGAGAACTACCTTTTATTGAAAGCATTGTATATAGAAGATAAAAGATATCTCAAATGAATGTAAATGTTGGATGCTCAGCTCTAGTGTTACTTTCCCTGTATATTGGGCACACAGATATGAGTAGTCTGTCAGCTTCCTCCAGGATGAGCGGGCTAAAACCTTCCAAACCCAGAGTCGAAGATGTGCAAGGGGCCTCAAGTTCACTCACTGTATCAACTGTGGTGGGGAGGTCACAGCGGAGCGCCAAGACTTTATCCGCAAAATTGCTCGCAATTGCCTCACAGCCAATATCCAATTCCCTAGCATTTTGTCTGCCCTGTGGCAGCGCTGTTAATGACCAAATTGTTCTAAACAATTGGTCTGGGCGTGAGCTCATGGACGCAATCATGGCTGCATAGAATTCCTTCTTAGTGGCCTTGGTTGCCATCTCATAGGATCTCATAAATGTCCTAAAAGATGCTCTTGTTGCCTTGTTGCAAGTACGGTGCCACCGTCTCTCTAGCCATCTTAGTTCTCGCTTCATCAGCCGCAGCTCCTGGGTGTACCAGGGAGCCAGCCTAGAGCGAGCATGCAGAGGGTGCCGGGGAGCAATCTTGTCGATGGCTGTGGAGAGACGGCTATGCCAGTCCTCCACAAGTTCATCCAATGAGCTGCCAGGGGGCCTTGAATCCCGCAAAGCCATTTGAAGCTCCAGGTCCATTTGGCTTTGCGGGTGAGCTAAAATCTGCTCGCCACCTAAACAGGGTCGGGGTGGAACTTTCATATGGGCCTTCAGGGTAAAGTGATCCGACCATGGTACTGCTAATGCAGTAATCTGGTCCACTGTTACTCCCGCTGCCAAGATCAAATCGAGCGTGTTCCCGGCCCGGTGTGTGTGGGTAGATACGAATTGGGAGAGTCCCAGTGCTGCCATTGACGATACTAGGTCTGCTGCCTAACTGGAGACTGCGTCATCGACATGGACGTTGAAATCACCCAGGACCAAAAGTCTAGGGTGCTCCATGTCGGCATGTGTATGCCTTAACAAGATTGCAGCCTGTTAGGCAGATCATGGTGATCTAAATAACAGTCAGAGGTCACATGACTGGACATGTTGCATCAGTCTACAGGAGGTGCTTCAGTGACTCAGCATCTCTGTGCTGATTGGATATTTGGACTAATCCATGTGTATATAAGTCTGTGCTGTATATACCACTGTATGCCAGTATGGTATCAGGTTGCTTGGTGAAGCAGTTTGTCGGTTGAAACTGTGAATGCTTAGCTATAAGGACTGTGTATATAGTGTAAAAAAAATGTGTAAATAGCACCAAACTAAGCTGGTGTGTGCAAGTTCTATATGACTCTGCAACACTCACTATTTGAACAGGAGATATATCATCAGCCATCATTGCCCACATTACTGTCACTCCAATGCCCAGCCTGATACAGCCTCCATCAGAGACGGCAGGCTACTGGCCAGTGCGTTAGGTGGTCGGTACACCAGCCAGATTGCCAAACTCTCCGCGGCCTCCAGCACCAGGCTGACACACTCAGTGCCCGTGATCTCCAGCGGTGGAAGCATCATGAAGGGGTAAGCCTCCTGAATGAAAATAGCCACTCCTCCCCCCGCCCACTGGTCTGTGATTGGTGTAGGACTGAGAACCCGGGTGGGGCAAGTTGGGAGAGACCTACGGTCTCCCCATCCCACACCCAGGTCTTGGTCATGCAGGCCAGGTCCGCCTTTTGTTCTAAAAGGTAGTCCCGAAGGACAGTGGTCATATTATTGATTGACCTGGCATTGCACAACACCAATGTCAGAGGAGGGTTACCAATCCTGGCCCCATTGCCCACTACCTTTGGGATGGGTTGCAGGTTGGAAGGGTGCTGAGCCACTTTATTTCTCAGCATCCTTCCCTTAGCTTTCCGCCTGGACTCACCGCTATACTTCCCCCTCCCCAGGAGCACCGGAATCTGTTGCCCAGGCATTGCAGCACCAACCAGTCTTCACAGTGGCCTCAGATGGATCAGCGGGCTAACCAATGAGCTGATCCACCGATATGGGTGCAAACACAGCAATCGCTCCTTGTGCTGATCGAACCTATTAATTTAACTACCAATCCTACTATAAAATACAAATATCTGCTGATTGCACAAACTCAACAATCTTACTACAATAAATTCTAGCAATCTATCAACCTAGCAATCACTAACATCCAATGAACAATTAAGTTAACTACCATTAGTAGCTCGGTATCCTAACCGACTAAAACCCCATAAACAGCCCCCTTAAAAATTCATCCTCTAACCGGCTAAGCAACATTCAAACCCTCTCCCTTCGATCAGCCTTTTCCAGGGGTTGCTGTTGTCCCATTAGCATCATCTTCTGGCTCCTCTTCTGCAGGGGAAGGAAGGAAAACCCCAGCATCCTTCCCTGGTAGTTGTTACTGAGAGCCAGCCCTGGGGGGCGCTCCGGTCTCTAAATTCTCACTGGCTATAGAGTCTACTCCTCCTCGAGCATCCAAAGCCCCCTTGCTCATCCTGTTCAGGTAGTTCAGGGGGAGGGTCTGCATCCCAGCCACAATCCCCGATCTACCCGTTAGGCTCCATTGCTGCAGCTCCGTCGTGGCTCGCTGGCCTCCAATGTTGCGGCCCCATGGCGCCCACCTCCATCCCGGCCGATCTGGCCGTTGCAGGCCCGCGGGTGTCCGCTGCCGCGTTCTCTCACCGCCTGAGTGATCGGGGGAGCTCAGATCTTGTTATAAATATACGTAAAGCCAGGGGTCATTTCGTAAAAAAAGAGGTGCAGGAGCTCATTAGCATACCTCATTAGCATAACTTATTTGCATATTCCATACACCCCTGACATCACTGGAAGTGTGTCAGAAGGCAACACTCACCGCTCAGGCTCCACTGGACTCTTTTGGATTGCTAGCTATGGGGGGGGGGATGCGCAGATCTGCCCTAGCAGAGGAGGGAGAGCTTGTACCTGAATAAAACTTGGCCTTAAAGGTGCCACTGGACTGTTTTGGATTGCTAGCTGGGGGGGGAGGGATGCACAGATCTGTGCAGGAAGGAAGGAGGGAAAAAAGAGAAGGAGGGAAGGAAGGAAGGAAGGAAGGAAGGAAGGAAGGAAGGAAGGAAGGAAGGAAGGAAGGAAGGAAGGAAGGAAGGAAGGGGATTCTTGTTCCTCATGGCCTGGGGCTGCTGGGAGCAGGGGGTGGGGCTTGTTGCATGTGCCCGCTCCCTGGGCTCTTTACTGCCGGAGCTCCGCTCCTGTGCGCTCCTGCAGGAAATGACCCCTGCGTAAAGCTGTTGATATATGAAAGAATCACATAAATTGGCACAGGAAGAATTGGTGCTTACATTTGGGCCATCAAATTTATCCCTCTCTGTGCCAGGAAGCAATTTTCTTGACTTGTGTGTATTTGGTTACAACAGGCAACATGGCATCCATAAAATTATTTGCATGTGGAGAATAAGCTGTTTTTATTTCAGTGTCAAGTATCCATGACCCTGTTAACAGATGGAAGCTGAATTAAAAAATAAAGAAAATGCTGGAGGTTGGTGGAAGATTGTGGATTTCCTGGCTGTTGATGACATGGCAGTTATCCCATTAAAATAGTTGCACAGCTTGAAACCTTTCTTGCTCCTGGGAAAAGAAGTGATGGCAGTAGGCCCAGCAGTGTATTTTATTGGCTGTATCTGATACATCATTGTGGCTCTTCCTAGAGGGCTGGGATCTTGCCTTGATTATTACTACTTTTGTAGCTTCTAGGACTGACTGCAATGATGAACTGTACATGGATATACTTTGAATATAGTTCTGTAACTTCTTCTGGTACAAAATGCTGCATCTTGTTTTCTGTATAATATAGGGAAGTAGGGAATTTCATGGCAATTCTTACTTATTGGCTGGCTTCCAGGTCCATTTCATGGTTTTAATTCTGACCCATAAAGCTCTTCATGGCCATCTACTTCTAAAGGCACCAGTACTAATTATAAGCACAAACACAGATCCTGCTTCCATAGTAATCTGTTACAAATAAAAATTAACCTATTCAGTTGGCATATTTAAAGTCTTCATAAACCTTCTCTAACATTAATCTCTATAAATGTCATTCTCAGAATTATTAGTCATTCTTTAAGAACTGGACACAGTATATTCACTCGTCTTGTAAATTACCTGCCTATTTACATACCTCAACCTCTCCAGGTGGGAAATACAGAATTGATTACCCATTGTAATCACAGGACAGATGCCTGAGTGCCAAGGAAGCAGTATACTCTCTAGTTATATTCCTGAGGGCAAATAACTAGGGCAGAAGAGTGACATTTTTAGGCTGTCTCTTATTTCTTTCTGTTTAGCTTTGTTTTGTTTTTCAATTTTCTAGCACACTCTAGTGGCCAGAGATGAAAGATTTAAAAGTTAAAAATTAAGAAAAATTTACTATAGTAGGCAAAAGACAGCAGCAGTGGAGATGGAACACCCCTTCTCCCTCTGTAAACAGTGGCCTTGATATAAGACACTGGAAAACTAGATTTTTCTTCACATGTACTTAGAAAGATGCTCCTCCCTTGTATTTCTGCAGCAGTCTAGGTCCTGGGATTGATTCTTTCCCTCATATTTTTAGGAAGGATTGTGCATTGTGCTTGTATCATAGATTCCCAGATGAACTTTTGTGAGCTTATATTGTTTGTAGACTAGAATATGCATTAGGGAAGCTTATTTGCCTGGAATAGTACTACATTAATAATTCAATACTAATTCAGGGTCTGATGTAATCCTGACCAAAAACTACTACATCCAAAATCTATAGGAAAATTACATCTTTTACATGACTGTATTGATTGAACTCCTGGGTATTTTTAGGGATAGTTTTTGACTGAAGGGCCTTCTAGAGATTCCAAGAAATCAGAAAGGTGATGGGTTTGGACTACATTTGGTATATATTTCCCAAAAGTTCTAGTTTGTTTACCTGGGAGACATTTAGATAGCTGGGATAGAGTTGTAATTCACAAGTATAGTTGTTCTATGTAAGGCTGCAGAAAGTGTACCTCATCCTGGAAATGGGGCATCTGCCAATAATTCATGACTTCCTAGTTTGTTAAGGAAGAGCACAGCTCACCAACTCTGGATTCAACACTCTTGGATTACAGTACTAAATCCAGCAATAAATACACATAAAGGCTGATTTGCATAACCATATTATGCATTTTTTTCAGTTCATCCTGACTTCTCATGTTGGTTAAAAAAATCATTTGTGTATGTAAACAAAATAAGTATTTGTGTGAAAAGACCTTTTCAGTGGGATGTGTGTGTATGTATGCACAAACGACCATATGAGTATAAAAACAGTTGTGTCACACTTTTTTACATTCTATTGTATGGAGGTACCAATTGTCTCTGTGTGAAATCTGTCAGTTTCCCACACTACTTTATGCTGCTGCTTCATAGAACTTAATGCTTGGGTTTTTATATTTTGTCTCAGTAAAACAATGAATTTACACATATTTAGAACATTTGATGCATTTTGCTGAAATGGAGGTAGTAGCAGGCTTGACCCTAGCATATCCTCAGAAATAATAATATAGTTGGGGGTGGGGCTTGAATTGTGATCATTCAGTTCTAGAAAAATGAAATATTTTTATTTGTGCTTTTTAACTGGAAAAGTAGTACACATTATTTTAAAAATTAAAATAGCCGGCTAACTTCTGTTAATAAAAATTAAAGACAACAAGATCCTATAAGAACAGATGAACATTCAAATATACCCTTTTTAAAGAGAAGAAAAGGCTTAAATGATGAAACACAAGTGGATAGACAGTGAAAAGAAATGGGCTAATGAGACCCCTGGCTAGACCAAATACACACAATCTGTACTATTTTAATGAGTGTTAAGCTTTTATGCAAATAAAAAAAATGTAACATATGAATGGAGCAGGGATGCAGTGTTTGTTGCACAAGGCTTTGCAGCAGATTTGTATGGAGAGTTGCCAGGGAGGATCTATTCTGGGACTGGCTCTTGATGATTTGGTACTAAAGCAATCATGGAAAATATCCCACAACCCCCCCACTAAAATTAATGGAAGTTGTGCAGTAAGCGTATCTGTGGGTTTGTGCTCTGATATTTTTATTTTAAATATGTGCCTCAAAATTCAATGAAACTGCAAATTATTTTAAAATTGCTTTTAAAGGTCATTGGAAACTTTTTTTTATTTAGTCACCAAAGAAAAGTAACAGTGAATTCACAGAAAACTAGTCTCTTGCTGCTTAATTATGCCTTGACATTTAATCCTAAATCTTCTAAAAAATGGTTGAATGCATGTGTATGTCAGTGTGTACATGTATAGCTATTTTCCTTTCCTGTTCTGCTACTGCTATGGTGAGTGAAAGCAAGCCATAATGATTTCATGAAAACTATTCGGATTGTGTAGCTGGTTGGTGAATGAGAGGGTTTTACATGCAAACACTTGCTTTAAAATGTTATACCAATAGGCTAAAAATAATATAACCTTTCTTTCCCTGCTTGTACACAGGGCATAATGCAAGATGTGCAATTACTTGTCATGCCTCAAGGATTTATTTCTCAGTGCCCAGATCTTAATCGCAGTAAGTGTGCTAGTTCTTATACAATAAAATATGTTGTGGTGCTTTTTGTTTAATTTTTTTCCAGCGAGATTTTTCTTAAAGTGTATTGATTATCAGGTAACTCTTGAATAGACTGAGCCTCCATCCAGTACAGTCTGACAAATGCGACATTTGTGATTTCAGCATGCCCAACCTGTAATGATTTCCATGGACTTGTGCAGAAAATAATGGAGCTGCAGGATATTTTAGCCAAAACCTCTGCCAAGGTAATGCCTTTCTGAAAAGTTTTAGGGGTAGACTGTAGGGCTTCACAAGCTCTGATAAACTATGTTTATGTGTAGTTTTCTATATGTGTATTTATTCTTGTGGAACACTTTCCTTACCATTTGTGTTTTTTCTCCTATTGGAAAATTTAATAAAAATCCTTGAACAAGAAGTGGTTCATTAATATTCACAATTTGCTCTCTAGAAAAATGATTCATTGATTTGAATAAAATAATTTAGATATTTAAGAACTCCTATTGTTTGAAGTCTTGTCCAAAGAGTACATATTTATACACGAAAAATGAAAAACTACCCTATCAACCCATAACTTCCTTGGAGAGGGTTGGCTCAGTGGTTTAGTACCTGTGTTGCCTGCCAAAATTCTGATGTTCAGCCCTTGGCATCTCCAGTTGAAAGCCTCAGTCTCAGACCAGAGACCCTCGAAAACTGTTGCTGGTCAGAGTTGTCAGTACTGACCTTGATAGGTCTGACTAGCTTAAGGCAAGCTTCTTGGGAAAATGCTTCCCTTTCTTCTGCTGGGAAAATGCATTAAATCCTGTGTGCACTGGCTTAATAGAAGGTAGCGTATTGCTTCTGTTTGCTGTTATTGGTTAATAAAAACAAGGCCGTCATGACTCTTCCTGTGTAATACGTTTTAGCATTGCCAGGAAGGAGAAACATATCAATTTTAATTAATAAAACAAAAATAAAGAACTACTTTCAAGATTAAATGTTTTTGAATATGGTCTTTGCTCTATAAATTTAATGAAATGACAAATACTCAAAGAATGTTCATATATCAAAATGTGGAATGAATATCTGTATAAATTTTATGCCATTCCTGAAATCCTTTATCTATTTTGTTTTTAGTGTAATAGCATTATTGAGTGTCCTATATGTATTATTACAATGATTATAAATATGCGTGCTGTGAATGCGACACAAATGTGATCACCAGGCGAAATTTACCTTGTTCAGGTCCCTAGTTTAGACACAAGGAGAGCTCCTGATTAGATTACCTAAGTGGCTGTTATCAAGGTTAACACTTCCTCGTTAAGGAGAACTGAGCAAAAAACCTGGCTGGGTCCAGCCCCTGGTTTTCCACAGTGGCCTACCACATGCTAAAGAAAGCATGTCTGAATGTGAGGGCTTCTTTCAGGTGTCATGCCTCATAGACAGTGACAGATCTATCATCCATTCGTTTGTATAATCCCTCTTTTAAAGCTATCTTGTGGCAGGTAATTCAGTGAACTAATTTTGTGATGTGTGAAGTACTACTGTCTTCTGTCTGCCAGTGTTTTCAATGGATAGCCATGAGTTCTTGTAGTATGGAAGGGAGACAAAAACACACAATGGCTGAGCTGCTCTTTTCTATAAGAGAGTAGAGTAATACCTGGACAGCAACTTTAAGGTATTATAAAATATTACAAACCCACCCACCCCGCTAGTGCTTGTGAGTAACATGAGTTGGATGGTATATCAAATCTCTGGGACAAACATTGGATACCATTTGATATAATAAGGGGTAGAGGAAATGGCACTGGATGTTGTACAAACCTAGTAAGAAGTGGAGTTAATTAATTAGTGCCCATCCATGTTCCTGTTCCTTCAGCCATCTCAACATCAGCTCAGTTTTCCTTCCTCCCTGAAACTGATTCTGTTCAGTGCTAGGTGTGTCCAGAATAAAATTATTATCATCCAGATCTAACTCCTAGATGAAGGGTCTTGCATCACTGACCTGGCTGGTGTTTGATCCTGTGTTGGCCCATGCTGGGTTTTGTGTTCGTTCAATACAGGCACTTGGTGTTGCCAAGGTTCATAAAATTTCAGTCTTTTCCTCTGGTCCTGATTACCATTACTGAATGTGTGCAAGTGGTATTGGGAACTAGGATCAGACTTGAGATTCTGTGGGTAAGGTGCCCAGTTTGCTGCCTAACAGAGTTCCTGGCTGAGCTCAAGATGGTGTTCTGAAGCTTTGTGTTGGAACCCTCCCCTCACCATGGTCCTGAAAGATTTCAACAGCCATGCAGAGGCCCCTATCACACGTAGCTTAGAATTTCATGGCCACTGTGACAACTATGGGCTTCTCCCTATATAACTATAGTCCCAGAGCACACCTTCGTAAATATAAGGACTACCATGTTTTATTTCTGGTCTGTCATACAAAGACCTGTGTGTTCTAATTATTGCTTTGGGAGAGATCTGATTATTTATTTACTCCCTTTTTTCCATCATGAAACTTTGCTGGTTTTTATATTTTCAAATGGAGAATAGCTGTTTTTTCCCTTCTCTCTCCCAGTAGCCTTGGTGGATCTTGAAATTTGTACAGTAGCTTGCCAGTGCACATACTGTTGAAGACACTAATTATCGCAGCACTGTCTCCTTTGGCTGCTTCCTTGTTTTGCTCCACCTCTGTCATCGTGAACCTGAAAATATTGTTACACAGATTAGAACAGCTAAAATTCTTCCAGCCCCAGAAGCTAACATATTGAACACATAATTAAAACAATCTGTAAGTCTTCACCAGTACCATGCAGTGCTTCAAAACTGGTTGCTCATGTGAATCTCTAGCTGTCTTTTCAACAGCAGCATTTCTTATCAAAATAGTTTCTGGAGGCTGATAGATGGAAAATCCATGTGGAGCACAATTTTGTTTTTCTTGGAAGCAAGTTCCTGTTCATTACAAAAGAGCTTACTTCCAACACATGTGCATAGAACATATCTTAGTTGCTTATTTAATCAGAATGATAATGATTGAAATAGAAGGCATTTGCAGCCAGATCCAGATTATTCTGGAATGCCTGTTGGATAAATAGGACAGTCCATGAGCACAAAAATAATTATGCATGAATAAAACCTTGAACAGCTAGAAAATAGAGTTGGATTATGTTCCAACCTTGCATTTTTCTTTCACAAGTACCTGGATATTTGATTCCATACTCATAATTTCTCATTCAGTAATATTTCATCCATACAGCTTTTACTGTAGTTTTAGGCCATCAGTTCTACAACTAACGAGTTCCTCTCTGTGGAATATGTACCTAGCTGTCGCGAGCTGAGCAGAGGATGAATAGATTGGATCAGTGTTATTGCGAAAGAACCTGCACTATGAAAGGCATAACCTACAGAGAATTTGAATCTTGGACAGATGGCTGTAAGAACTGCACTTGCTTGGTATGGCTATAATTTTGAATGGACATTGAGGAACCTGGTTGCATAATTTGATTAAAGTGCTTATATATTTTAGGTGTGAAATCTCTTTACTGAGGTAAAAAAATAAGTGTTGTATATGAAATAGTTTACTCAACTACATTATTCTTCATATCTTATGGTTTTTCTAAAATCAGCTTGGATCCTGTTCTCATGTTATATCCAATGCTGGAAGGGAATGGGAAGAGTCTTGTACGACAAGAGTGGCATGGCCAAACGAGTCACCCTTCTCCTAATGTCATATCTCTGGTAGATGTTGCAGTGTGTAAATGGGCCCCCAGAGTCATGCATGGCTGGAGTACAGCACAGAAGAGATTCTTTCTTCTCACTCTTCCTCAGGGCTACTCAAGGAAGAGGGAATTCCTTAGCATAGTTTAGAAGCAATATAAGGTTGTGTAAAAAGAAATAGGTTTGTTTCTATCCATCCATTGTTAGAAGAAGAAGAGGAGGAGGAGGAGGAGATTGGATTTATACCCTGCTTTTCACTTGGAGTCTCAGAGTGGCTTACAAACTCCTTTCCCTTCCCCCACACAACAGACAACGTGTGAGGCAGGTGGGGCTGAGAGAGCTCTGAGAGAACTGCTCTTTTCAAGAACAGCTCTGACAGAACTATGGCTTGCTCAAGGTCATCCAGCAGCTACAAGTGAAGGAGTGGGGAATCAAACCCGGGTCTCCCAGATTAAAGTCTGTGCACTTAACCACTATACCAAACTGGAATACCTGGTGGGTCTACAGATCAGTTGCTGAGTACATGCTAGTTTCAAGGCATAGTTTGTGAGTGAGGGGTTCTGGGGATTTATTTTACATGTTTCTGGAAAAGAATATTTCCTCTAATATTGATACATTTATTAGGAGCCAGCATACTTGGGAAAAGGAAATGCAGTCAAGCTGCAGAATACATAGCCATGTAAACATGGCTTTGATTGTAGCGAAATTTGAAGTATGTCAACCATAGTCAGAAGCTCCATGGACCTCCATGCAAGCCACGGATACTCCATTTATCTTTGGTGATCAGGAATGCACTCACATTGTGTTGCTGATGCATTCCCAACAGAGAAATAAATAGGGCAGCTTCTGCTTTTACTCAGTGCTACATTAGAATTACTGGATCAGAGGGATGATGTATTGGATTTTCACAAAGATAAGATACTAGCTCAGATCCCATGAAATGCAAAGGTTTTTCTCTGTGATTTTTCTCCAGCTGTTTTCTATCCCCAATTGCCCTCTGGCCTTTAAAATGCAGAGGTTGGAAGCAGCAACATCTGAATGGACTAAAGCCATGCAACCTGTGAAGGCTACAATGAAATCCCCTTCCTCTTTCATCAGCGATGCTTCTGACAGGAGTGCATTAGCACAAGATTGGAACCTACCCCTCCTCATTGCAGTCTCCTGGGCCATGTAACTTATTGTACATGCAGGTTCTACCAGCTCTAACATCAGTTTTTGGAGGTCTCAGGGTTCATGGGGTAGAGGGAGTGTCAGGTTCCACTGGGGCTGGGCCTGAGCCTGTCTGGCTGTCCAGGGTCTCTTTTGGTTGGTTTTCTGTCCCCAAAAGGAAGCCTCAGAATACGGCAAATGGGGGGCGGGGTTCACTTTACCCAGTTCCCATGTTCTTCCCAGCCTGTTAACTTTTCCCAGTTGCCTAAGACAGCTCTGACCCTGGCTACTGCTGGGTGTGCCTTTATGAGTCCTTGGGAGAGGGACAGCCCTGGGCTCTGTCAATCCTCCCTTCCCATTAACCTGATCCAGGAGAGTGAGAGATTCCTAGGCCAGTGGATCCTTGGCCAGGGCCACCCTGCCTATCAGTCCTCCTCCAGGTCCTCCTGGCTCAGACTGGCCCAAGACAGTCTAGGTTACTTGCTCAATCTCCCACCCTTCAGGTCACAGGTTCCTGGGCCAGGAGATCTGGATCAGCTCCACAGTAGCCATGAGCAAGCTTGCCTTCCCCCACTCTGCCTGCTCATTCACCTCAGGAGTGGCCACTGAAGGCTGGCTTGGGGGTGCTCCCTGTTGAGCCACCACTGGGGACCCTGCCCATTGCTGTTTTGGCACTGGAGCTGCAGGGCCTGCTGGTTGGCATGCAACTGGCTCCTTGCTGGGCTCCCCCCAGCCATCCTTAAGAGGAGGCCTGTCTACCGGTGTAGCTCACAGCGATTTGGCTGTCTGCTCCCGCAGCATCAAGACTTGCCAGGGAGGCTGTTCTGCACTGGGCTTCCCAGCCTCCAGCAAGTAAGTCCATGGGCAGGCGCCTTGTCCCCAGACCAGGAGGATAAAACAGCTGTGTCTGCAAGTTCTACTGCCCTTGAGCTTTGTAAAATTCAGTATACTATATTTTTAAAAAAGAATACGTACTGGCTTTTTTCTTGAAATCTTAGCAAGTATTGATCTCCATTTTATAATTCAATAAAGTTTTGTAATTCACAGCAACCTATCAATTCATACAACTGGCAGAATGTCTTTCTAAAGAAATGTTGTGTTACTCTCAGTGTATAAAAAATCTGCTATGCATATATCAGGAATCTATGCAGAATTATTTTCTTTTTGAGTATATATAATCTGTCTTCCTAATCAAGAGAAGAAAATTGGATTTTTGGCCTTTTGAAATAAAATGTTATGATTAAAGAACCACATGACCTAAAACATATTTATCTGATCAAATTATGTTAAAATACTTTTAAAATAACCTGTTTATTATTTCTAGAATGGTTCTATCCAATGTGAAGCACTGATTTGTCCACTTACTGATTGTCCACCTAATTCTGCTCCTACATATGTTGATGGCAAGTGTTGTAAGGAATGTCAAGGTAAGTGTTGTGGGGTCTTCTTTTGGTAGCTATTTTCATTTTACAATATTTATAGATCTTATGTTCCCAGGCCAGGTCTCCAGTTAGGATGAATCAATACTTTGGGAATGACTAAAGCCAAAGCTAATTTTTTAAAAAATTGATTGTTTCAGGGTAGTGATAAAAGAATGAGCTTAATTTTCCTGTTGAAATTTAATGATATTTAGATTTTGATCCAGCCAAGAGATCTCATTTACAGAGAAGAATATATCTAGAACTTGCTATCTAATTCTTGTTTTAAAACTACCATTAGTGTGAATTTGGACAAAACATTGTTTCAGGATGAAGTCTGAGCTCTAGGAATCAGCTATAAGTTTCACTGTTAAAACAGAGTTTGTGGTCATTAATACAGTTAAGGAAATTTGTACTAGAGTATTGTTTTAAGTGATATATCATCAAATATATGTTGGGTTGTTTAATGGACCTATCTCTGGCAGGGAGGGCGTGGGTATAAATTGGAAAAATAAATAAATAAATAAATATCCATCCTGCTTCTAATATGCATGTGTTCAAGATGATAAACATGCTTGTATTATGTGGCATTTTCATTAAGTGTCTTCCTAAGGATGTTACATAGGAATGTGTGCAGTAAATAGTTCATAGACACTGATACATGCAAAGATATTTGTTTAGCTAACATATCAATATGTAAACTCTCTTTTTAAACAGTTTTTATTTTATTTCCTTTTCTGTATTTAATCTAGTCTGTAATACCTATGCATGCATGATCATGCACTGTTTAGTAAAGCAATATGTAAGTTTATAAGTGCTGTCAAGTTGCAACTGACTTACAGCGACCCCAGCAAGGAGTGTTCAAGCAAGTGAGAGGTAGAGGTGGTTTGCCATTGCCTTCCTCTGAAGAGTTTTCTGTGGTCTCCCATCCAAGTACTGACCCTGCTTAACTTCCAAGATCTGATGAGGTGAAAATTACTGCCTACCCTTGTGTGCAAGCAGGACAGAGCTAAATGTAAAATGGCTTTTAATGCCAGATTATTTGCTCCCTTCTCCAGTTTACACATGCATTATGAGTGGCTTTGAGATTTACTTTTCTGCAGGTTGCTAATGATAGAAATTACCTACCTTATCAATAACTCAATAATGACTAACAGAATTCAGTAAGTTAATAAGAATTCATTTGTTTGGAATTAACATTTGATCAAATCAGTGGTCATTAATCTACAGATGTTTGCTCTGGTCCCATGACAGCATGTTGCTCCTAAACTGTACGAATCATCACTGCTTTCATTAGGGGGATAGATCAAGATGGGTAGCTATGTTAGTCTGTCTGTAGTAGTAGAAAAGAGTCCAGTAGCATGTTAAAGACTGACAAAATTTGTGATAGGGAATGAGCTTTCATGAGTCACTGCTCACTTCTTCAGATATAGCTAGAATGTGAGTCCATCTGTCCTATATATTGGAAAGTGAAGTGATTTCAGATGTCATCTGTCAATACATAGAACAGATGGACTCTCAACAAATTGAGGGCTAATTTAGTCATTCATTTACTTAAAGATACAGAATTGCTAAATGTGCATGGCCAGGTGTCATGGCTACTATCGGATACAAATGATTGTGTCACTTTGTCGGGCTGGACCATGTGTACCATAAAACATAACATGAGGTCTCGGAGATAAAAACTTTTTAAAGGTGATTTCAGATGCCGAATGGCAATAGCAGGTGAATGACAACAGCAGGCTTGATTAGTTTAGGTGTGATATGCAGAGGTGTAGTAGCCATGGAGATACCAGCATTGGTAATGAGACAGGAAACCTAGGTTTCAATTCAGTCCAGGAGGATTCAGTCTAGGAGGATGCAAAGAATAAATGGACAGAAGTCTGATGTTAGAAACCACAACATTCAAAAACCAGTAGGGGAACATTTAACCTTCCAGGACATTGCTGACCGAAGAGTAGCAGTTCTCTTACCAGGGAATTTTAAAGGGAGATTAGAAAGAGAGACTGCTTAACTGCAACTGATAATGAAGCTCAATGTATCCCCCAGGACTGAATTGGGACCTAGTTTTCCTGTCTCATTTTCAGTGCCTGCTATTGTCATTTGGCATCTGAAATCACTCCAAGATATAAGGACCAATGGACTCACATTCTAGCTGTATCTGAAGAAGTGAGCAGTGACTCACGAAAACTCATGTTCTGCCACAAATTTTGTTAGGTGCTACTGGAGTCTTGGAGCTGCGGTGGCTCAAGTGGTTGGGACGCTGAACTGCAGGCTGTGGAGGGTTGGCCTCCATTCCTGAGGACTGGAAGGTAGCTAATGTCACTCCCATCTTTAAAAAGGGTTCCAGAGGAGATCCGGGAAATTACAGGCCAGTCAGTCTGACGTCGATACCGGGTAAATTGGTGGAAACCATTATTAAGGAAAGAATTAGTAGGCACATAGATGAACAAAACCTATTGAGGCAGACTCAACATGGGTTCTGTAAGGGAAGATCTTGTCTCACTAACCTGTTAATGTTCTTTGAGGGGGTGAACAAACATGTGGACAAGGGGGATCCAATAGATATTGTTTACCTTGACTTCCAGAAAGCTTTTGATAAAGTTCCTCATCAAAGGCTCCTAAGTAAGCTCAAAAATCATGGGATAAAAGGACAAGTCCTTTTATGGATCAAAAACTGGCTAATTAATAGAAAACAGAGAGTGAGTATAAATGGGCAGTTCTCCCAGTGGAGGGGTGTAAGCAGTGGGGTACCACAGGGATCAGTACTTGGTCCACTGCTTTTTAACTTGTTCATTAATGATTTGGAGTTGGGAGTAAGCAGTGAAGTGGCTAAATTTGCGGATGATACGAAGTTGTTCAGGGTGGTGAAAACCAGTGAGGATTGTGAGGCACTCCAAGGGGATCTGTCAAGGATGGGCGAGTGGGCGTCAACATGGCAAATGGGGTTCAATGTGGCCAAGTGCAAGGTGATGCACATTGGAGCCAAAAATCCTAAATATAAATACACGTTGATGGGGTCTGAACTGGCAGAGACTGATCAAGAGAGAGATCTTGGAGTTGTAGTAGATAACTCACTGAAAATGTCGAGACAGTGTGTGACTGCAATAAAGAAGGCCAATGCTATGCTGGGGATTATTAGGAAGGGTATTGTAAACAGATCAGCCAATATCATAATGCCGCTATATAAATCAATGGTGCGACCTCATCTGGAATACTGTGTGCAATTCTGGTCACCACACCTTAAAAGGGATATTATAGCTTTGGAAAAAGTGCAGAAAAGGGCAACTCGAATGATAAAAGGGTTGGAACACTTTCCCTATGAGGAAAGGTTAAGGCGCTTAGGGCTCTTTAGCTTGGAGAAACGACGACTGAGGGGTGACATGATTGAGGTTTATAAGATTATGCATGGGAAAGAGCAGGTAGAGAAAGAGGTACTTTTCTCCCTTTCTCACAATACAAGAACTCGTGGGCACTCCATGAAATTGCTGAGCGGTCGGGTTAGAACAGATAAAAGGAAGTACTTCTTCACCCAAAGAGTGATTAACACTTGGAATTCACTGCCACAGGAAGTGGTGGCGGCTACAAGCATGGACGGCTTCAAAAGGGAATTAGATAAGCATATGGAGCAGAGGTCCATCAGTGGCTATTAGCCACAAGGTATAGATAGGGACTCTGGGGCAAGTGATGCTCTGTCATCTTGGTGCTTGGGGGGGTCAACAGTGGGAGGGCTTCTAATGTCCTGGCTCCACTGGTGGACCTCCTGATGGCACTGGTATTTCTGGCCACTGTGTGATACAGAGTGTTGGACTGGATGGGCCTTTGGCCTGATCCAACATTGGCATCTCTTATGTTCTTATGTTCTTATGACTTGACTGGCTTTCGAGCAAGGGAACCTTTACCTTTACTGGACTCTTGCTCCTTTCCACTAATAAAGCTTTCAAGCTGTACTGTTAGGTTTCTTTTTTTTCAATTAAGAACCAAAAATGTGAGAAGAAAGTCTAATGAAGGGCCAATATTAAAAACCTAGTTAAAACTTCTACTATACAAAAATACAAGTATTTGTTAGAGACAGTAAAAACATACATAAGGGCCCAATGAAAGCCTCTTAAAAAGTATAGCCTAAACACAAGGGCCAATACACATGACCTGACGCGTTTCTGCCCTATTGGGGCCTTCTTCAGAGGTCAAACAATATTGAGGTACACATAACTTAAATGCATATTGCAATAAGATAACCAATAAGTGAATATTGGACCAGGAAGAGGAAGGTTAAGCAGCAAGATCTAAAGACACATGACAAAGATGTTTGTGAGGCCTCAAAAGGTGAAAGCCATGTCTCTGGTGCCAAATGCACAGTTGCTGAATTAGAACATCTTCCAATTTAGGTCCAAAAAACACCTGTGTGGCTATCAAAGTCAGAGCTAGAGTGTCCTCAAGCAAATAGCAGTGCTATTGAGTAGGTGTGGTTAACCTTCATAATTTGGTGCTGGGTGATGCAATCCTAGTGAAATGCTTGTTTGTTTTCCCCTCCCTGTGTCCTATTTTTTCCCCTTTCATCTGTTTAAACTGGAGGGGGGGTCCCTCCGTGAAATAATGTGCTGATTTCAGACTGGGCCAAATCCACTCAAGTACTAGTGATGAAAGCAAAGGGGGAATGAAGAAAGGCAGCCAGCAAGATGGGAGGGGTGAAAGGGAGACGTGTTGAACTCGAACATATGGAACCATAAAATGTATTTTTAAATACTTAGCCATCTACTTCCATTATTAAACAATAGAATCCAGTGGGATTGAATTATTAAACAATGGAAGCCAATCTAAGGCCCGGAAGAGGGACGGATCGGGGGCACATCAAACGGGTGTGATCACACCGCAACATCTGGGAAGCGGAGCGCACCCGTCCCTGATCCGTCCCTTCAGGCCGATAACGCGCAGCCAAAAAGAAGCTACACAACAGCAGTATCAAGTACTAGTGATGAAAGCAAAGGGGGAATGAAGAAAGGCAGCCA